TCAGAGGACTGGTGAAGAGGGTGGCACCCAGTGCTGGTTGGTTGTTGCTAACTTGACACAAGCTACAGCCAACTGGAAGGAAGAGACCTCAACTGAGGAAATGTCTCCTCAGATTGGCCTGGGGGCAAACCTCTGAGGCATTTTCTTGGTAATGATTGATGTGAGAGGGCCCAGCCCACTGTGTGGTGCCACCACTAGGCAGGTTGTTCTGGGTTCTGAAGGCATAAGTCACAAAACAATTCCACACCAGTTTGGATTTATGATTAATAAAAGGGTTATTTATTTAAAGAGAAAAACTTACAGATCACCGTCCTAGACAACAGCCCTCTGCATGGGAAAGGAGTCTAGTAGCTGGAAGCAAGGGAGAGAGCAGGGCTACCGCTGCTTTTTAAAGGGAAAGAGACCACGCCCAAGTGGGCTGGTATCTTAAAGGCTATTGGCTAAAGGAGCAGAAGGAGCTCCCGCAGCACCTCCCCCTTTTGTTTAAGTAAGAAAGTTCCAAACTTGATACAAAATAATATACCCTAGGAACAGATATCAAGTATAAGATTAGAATTACAATCAGCATAAACAATATTAAGCAAGGAACATATGCTAAATATTTTAATAAACATTCTATCCTAAGGAGTCTAAGTCTTGTATTGGAAATGGCTTGGCTAGATCATAAGAGGACAGTAACTACGATTATCTAATCTTCAACCCTATCAAAGGCCTGAGAAGGGAGATAATATTACTTGAGCAGGCAGGAAGTACAATCAAGTATCTTCCAAAGCAAGCAATAAATGACAGAAACAATTAGCTAACTGAGCAGTCACCCAAAGTCTCATTTTGCAACAATGAAGCAACCAACTTTGGCTAAGACCTAGAATAACTGACAGACCATTTTCAAAGGCAAGAAATTTTTCAAAACTGTCTTACCCTGTCTTGATAAGATTTGACAGTCGTGTTTATCCATTTCTGGATACCATGTACCTTGTCAGTGGTTGAGGCATGGGCAGTTCTTTGCCCAAAGGCCAGTTTTTGCGAAGAAGAAAACAGGCTCCAAGTGGAGTGTCTTTGGTGCTCAACATTCTCTAGGGAATAGATCAGTGCTGCCAGGAGCAATCATGTCTTAGTCAACAAAACCCTAAGTTATTTAAATGCCATGTTCCACAGATCCTTGAAGTGGTTGAAGATTATCTGTCTATACCGAATATAATCTCTATGTAGCTAAAGAACGTGATTAGTCTAACTATAAGTATGACAAACATAGATGACTATTGATCTTTAATTCTTAATACCTATCTAACTTAAAGACTAAGACAATGCTGGGCGGTGGTGGAGCACGCCTTTAATCCCAGCACTCGGGAGGCGGAGGCAGGCAGATCTCTGTGAGTTTGAGGCCAGCCTGAGCTACAGAGTGAGTTCCAGGACAGGCTCCAGAGCTACAGAGAAACCCTTTTTCAAGGGGGGGGGGGGGGAAAAAAGGAAAGCAGACTAAGCAAGCTATGGAAGCAAACCAGTAAGTAGCACCTCTCCATGGCCTCTGCTTCAGTTCCCGCCTCCAGGTTCCTGCCTTGACTTCCTTTCTTGATGGACTGTGATGGTGTGGAAGTCTTTTTTTCCAAAGCAACCAGTTGAATGAGATAGGCCTTCTGGTTCTCACTCAGGGCCTTGTTGACCTAGGCTAATCCCACTGAGTCCCCTGTACTCTCCTCAGTGCTGGACGTGGAAACTAAGGCTTCAGGCATGTGAGGCAAACTCTTCATCATTGATGATGGTCTTGGTTCTGCCTGGTGTTTTGAGGATTGGGGTATTTTGAAGATTTGAGTGTCTCAAGGGCTGGGGATGTAGTTCAGTTGGGAGAGTGCTTGCCTAGCATGCATGGAGCCCTGGGTTTAAGCCCTAGCACCCATCAAACAGAGCACCATGGAGGCAGAGACAGGTTTTGGAGTTCAAGATCATCTTCAGTGTGTAGTGAGTTTGAAGTTAGTCTAAGCTGCATGAAATCTTGATTAGAGGGAAAGAAAGACTCTCTTAAAAGTGCCCTTCCATGAGGAGGTCCCTGCAGGTTCATACAGGGGGGCCAACTTTCTGACGAGAGGAGAATAAAAACCCAGTATAGATTGACTTCAACTTGAATCAGACTTCAGGGAGTCTAATGCCATTGTCAGCATGTGTGTGTGCATGCATGTGTGCGTGTGGTGTGTATGTGTGTGTATGTGTATAAACATATGTTTCTCAAGACAGGGTGTCTCTGTATAACTGCCGTGGCTGTCTCTGCCTCCTAACAGCTGGGATTAAAGGTGTGTGTCACCATCACCCAGGTCATTGTCGACATATTTAAAACACAGTCCAGTTTGGGCAAAGTTTCCAGGCAACGGTCAGTCCAGTCAGTCCAATTCCAGGTGCACAATAAAGTGAAGGTGTGACCACATAGAGACTCTTTTACAAAGTGCGTGTGACTGTGAGGGTGGGCTCTGTAGCTCCAAGGCCCAGAATAACCCAACAGAGAGGTCAGCAGGCTGGAAAGTAGTGTGATAGTGTGGTATCTCCCTTAAGGGTGAGTAACGGTTTAGGGAGGAAAGAGTCTGGAATAGTCATTCTGGGATCCTTAGGTGAGGCCTGCCTCCATAGCAGAGGTGAGTGATATCGGCCTCCACAGACAGTAAAGAGCTACACTCCCAGCCTTCTGAGTGATACACAGGTCTTTTATCTCCATTGAGAAAAGCGCCTGTGTATTTACCATTCTTGGTTTTCCTCCTGCTCCTCTGTGAGTACAAGGATCTCTGTGCCCCCCAACACATGAGGCCAGTCAGTGGTGGTGCACACCTTTAATCCCAGCACTCAGGAGGCAGAGGCAGGTGACTCTCTGAGTTCGAGGCCAGCCTGGTTCACAGTTCCAGGACAGCCAGGGCTACGCAGAGAAACCCTGTCTCGAAAAACAAAAACAAAGTGTCCATCTGAAGTCTGGGATTCAGGAGCCGGTTGCCCACGCTCTACCACCGCTCCAGTTCTTCCTCATCAGCTGTGGTACCCAGAAATGAGGACTCCCAGCGCTTCTGGGTCTCTCAGAGGCCAAAGAGCCCCACCTGGCATCCGAGGAGCCCTCAGCCTTGGTAGGAAGTGAGACACATTGACGTTAGAATCAGCAGCAGAAGCATTTCGCAGGTACGAGTTTCATTCTGAGTTGAAGGCAGCTGTAGGTGGCCCTGGTGCAGTCTGCTTGCCACACAGTGTTGGTTTAAAAACATACACCGCCCATGGTGTCAGAGATCTGATAGGGTCAAGGCCGACCCCATGGTGCTGCTTGACTGTGGTGAGGGCTGGTGACTGATCTGTCCACGGTCACCTTTTCCTGATTGATTCTGGGGAGGGGGAGGGGTGGTACCTCAGGTCTCCCCATGTGTTGTTTGGTTTTCAGGTACTCTTTATATATTGTGCGAAACGGCCCCCTTGCGTTATGCGTGCATGTCTTTTCTTCCAGGCTTGCTGCCTCCCTGCTTTATCCCCCTGGCTCTGAGAATGATCTCTAGTAGGCATAGTTGTGGTTTAATGAGTAAGTTTATTTAGTAAACCTCAAGCCAAAGTAAAAGAATAAACAACAATAACAAAGCATCATTAAATGGGGCTTAAAACATCCAGCAAAAACCAACTGGGAAAGCTCATTAAGGCAGCCAGCTGTGTTTCCACCCTAGCATCCTGAGCAGAGCACAGTGCTCCTCGGGTAAGACTTCCAAATCAAAGAACAAAGACAACGTCATTCAGTAAGGTGCTCACGTCACCCAGCAGAAAGCCCTGGGAAAGTAGAGGCAGTCAGCTGGAGTTCCCCGTTGCTTCCATGGATGGACCCCAGCTTCTTTTCTATCCTGGGACATGGCTGATCTTCTAGCTGCTCTTTTTTGTTTGTTTTTGTTTTTGAGACAGGGTCTCCCAGTGTAGCCTTGGCTGTCCTGGAACTCGCTCTGTGGTCCAGGCTGGCCGCAAACCACCTGCCTCTGCCTCCTGAGTGCTGGGATTAAAGCCGTGTGCCTCCACCATAGCTCTTTTAGCTGTTTTTAGGATGCTGTTTTTTACTCTTGGGTTGTTTTGTGGGTCTCTCCTCCCTCTCACAGTTATGTGGCCAGCCCATCCCTAGACAAGGGGTCTTAGGGAACACATGGTGTAAACGTGCTTGCGTCTGAAGTAGGTGGAGGGGAGCAACCCCACCTTCAGAACCAGACTCTCACTGAGTTTAAACAACATACGACAATTTGCCAATACAATGTTCATTACACCCACACAAATGGCTTAGATCTCATCTAACCAAATAGGTCTAACGTCTGTCTGTCTGTCTTTCTGCCTGTCTGTCTCTGAAATCTAAATGCTCTCCCAGTAGATGTTTCTTTCCACTGGCAGGCTGAGCCACGCAGACACTCTTAGCTCTGGGGGAAACAAAGGTCTTGAGAAAGGGGAGAGGGCTACATGATTAAACCAAGCATTGTCCACCTTGAGCTACCAACATTACCACTCCAGCCCAAGCTGGGATTTCAGATAGTTTTTCCTTCATGTATTTGGCTTCTATTTAATTTAAAATATATATGTGTGTGTGTGTGTGTGTGTGTGTGTGCACATGACTGTAGGTTCTCATGGAGGCCAGAGGAGTCAGAGATGGTTGTGAGCTATCAGGTATGGGTGCTAGGAAATGGCCTTGTATCCTTTACAGAAGCAGCACACTTGGTCTGAGCCATCCCTCTACCCCTACTGGCTACTAATCTTCCTTCCTTCCTTCCTTCCTTCCTTCCTTCCTTCCTTCCTTCCTTCCTTCCTTCCTTTATTGGTTTTTTTGAGAAAAGTTTTCTCCATGGCATGCTCCTGGCTGTCCTGGAACTTGTTCTGTAGACCAGGCTGACCTTGAACTCACAGAGATCCACCTGTCTCTGCCTCCCAAGTACTGGGATGTGATTGATATTTTGTTTGTGTTTTAACAAATAAAGCTTGCCTGAAGCTAAACCATATGGGCCGGGCAGTGGTGGCACACACCTTTAATCCCAGCACTTGGAAGGCAGAGACAGGTGGATCTCTGTGAGTTCGAGGCCAGCCTGGTCTACAGAGCGAGTTCCAGGACAGGCTCTGAAACCATAGAGCAACCCTATCTCGAAAAACAAAACAAAAACTATATATAAAATATATTTTATTGTTTAATTGTTCCTTTACATCATGACATTAAGTGTCTTTTAAACCTGTCGAATGCCTTAACTCCCACCGTGTTCGTATTGCTACTCTGGATTTGATGAGCTGTCAGCAGACAAAGGCATTGCGCATTGAACGCCTGACAACCTGAGTTCACTGGGCCCAGGGGCTGAGAGCAGAAGGGAGAACCAACCCCACAAAAGTTGACCCCAGGGATGGGGAGTAGAGAGATGGCTCAGCAATTAAGAGCATTTGCTGATACCACTTTTGGGCGTATACTCTAAGGATGCTCAATCATACCACAAGGACACTTGCTCAGCTATGTTCATAACAGTATTATTTCTAATAACCAGAACCTGGAAACAACCTAGATGCCCCTCAACCAAAGAATGGATGAGGAAAATGTGGTACATTTACACAACAAAGTACTACTCAGCGGTAAAAAACAATGTCATCTTGAAATTTGCAAACAAATGGACAGAACTAGAACAAGCCATCCTGAGTGAGGTGACCCACACCCAGAAAGACAAATATAGTACGAACTCACTCATAAATAGATACAAAGCAAAGGATAGCAAGCCTACAGCACACAACATCAGAGAACCCAGACCGCAAAGAGGACCCTAAGAGAGACAAACATGGACCCATTTCGGAAGGAGCAAAGGACAGGATCTCCTGAGGACCCAGGCTCCATTCCCAGCACCCACAGAGTGGCTCTCACCCATCTGCAAATTCAACCCCAGGGGATCTAAATCTTTCCTCTGGCCTCTGTGTGCATGGGACACATGTTGCACAGCCACATATGCAGGCAAAACACCCAGACACATAAGATAAAATAACAAGGGAAAAAAAGATTTGGGGTACCTTACAAATGAGCTAAATGCATTCTGAAATGAACTGGCTGTAAGTCTTTGAGGATCAGGATGAAATGTTCTAGTGACATGTTTAGCTGTTAAACTGGCAAGAACACCTTTAAAAGATGATTATCACTGTCAGCCTGACTGGATTTGGAATCACATAGATAACACCTTCGACTTTGCCTTTAACAGTGTTTCCAAAGAGCTCCATGTCATTTTCCTTGTGAGGTTTGTGTGTGTGCGTGTGGGGTGTGTGTGTGTGTGTGTGTGTGTGTGTGTGTGTGTAGGAGAGTATACATGTCCATGTAGAGGACGGCCAGAGGTCAATGTTAGTTGACTTCCTTTATTGTATTTCTATTTATTTATTTAGTTAGTTAGTTTGTTTGTTTTTGAGACAGGCTGGCCTGGACTCCCTATGTAGACAAGACCGACCTGGAACTCCAGAGATGAGCCTAACTCTGTAGGTAGGAAGCTGGGACTGCAGACATGGACCCTGATGCCTGGCCACTAATTGATGAGAAAGAATCTTTCACCAAACCCAGGCAGGGTCCAGGGCTCACCATTTTAGCTAACTTGACTGGCCAGCGAGCTCTGGGGAATACTCCTATCCCTAAACTCCCCAATCCCAACAGCACTGGGGTTCTCGGCAGGTAACGTCACACCTAGGATCCAAACTCAGGTCCCCTTGGAGCACAGCAAGCACCTTACCTGCTGACCATCTCCCAGATCCCCAGAAAGGTTTAAGAGGACTCACCCTGATGTGGGTGACACCTTCCCAGGGGTTGGGGCCCTGGACAGAGTAAGAGGGAAATAGAAAGCCAGGGAAATGCCAGCATTCACTTCTGTTTCCTGGCTACAGACACATCTTACATCTTCCTAAGTTATCCAGGCTGGCCTTGAACTTGACTGAGATCCTTCAGGATATTTAACCTCTGCAGTACATAGAATTGCTGGGGGACAGTCCCAAGTCTCACTTCACCTGTTTATTTAGGCACATAATAGAGATTTGGGAGGGACAGAGCTCATTGAAAGCACAAAACAATCTAAATATTCCACGCTCTGTAGGGAATTTGCCCACAGACTTTTTGTTCTATGTATATATACATATATGTATATATGTCTAGTTTATGTATACATATGTATATACATGGGGGTGGGGTGCCCACAGAGTCCAGGGAAAGGCATCAGATACCTTGGAGCTGGAGTCAGAGCTGGGTTAGAGGCTGGAGGTGGATGCTGGGGTCTTGAACTCTGATCTTCAAGAGCAGCAAGCCTGTGTGCCTGTGGGCCATCTCTCCAGCTCCCTGCTCTCATCAGTCCCACTCTGATTGGTGAGCAGCCTTGTGGTCCACCTTCTTAGAGAGGAACTCAGTGTTTGGCTGGGGGGCTTCACCCCAGCTTCTGGCATAAGCCCCTCCCCTAGGAGTTGCCTCAGACCTAACTCCACCTCTGAGAAAGCCTGCCAAATGGTGACCCCTCCCCAGGGAAGGTCAGGACCACTACCTCAGGATATTTAAACTACCCCCCAGAGAATGAACATATGGTCTCCGGGTTTTGCCTGGTCTCCCTTTCTCTCTCTTTCCCTCTCCATGTTTTTCCCAGGGCCACCTGGGAGTATTGCATTAAACATGGGCATCTTTTATTTGGTCTGATTTGGTTTGATTGGAATTATTTGTGTCGGCAAGGCCGAGAGGTTCGGCTTAAGACAAAGTACCTAACATTCAGGAATTTGGATTTGTTCTAGCCAGGTAGTGGTACCTTTAATCCCAGCACCCAGGGGGCTTAAACTGTCTCTCTCTTTTTAAATTTATTTATTAAGTATACAGTGTTCTGCCTGCATGTAGGTGTTCATGCCAGAAGAAGGCACCAGATCCCATTATAGATTGTTGTGAACCACCATGTGGTTGCTGGGAATTGAACTCAGGACCTTTGAAAGAGCAGCCAGTGCTCTTAACCTCTGAGCCATCTCTCCAGCCCCTTAAATTGTGTCTCAAAACAGACAGACAAACAAACAAAAACTCAACTGTTTCTTCTCTTGATTGTTTTTTTATTTTTAAAAAATTTTTTTAAGACAGGATTTCACTGTGTATCCCAGGCTGACCTCAAACTTGTGGCAATCCTCCAGCCTCAGCCTCTCAAGTGTTGATTACAGATATGACCCATCATGGCCAACTTAATTTTTCTTTCTTTTTCTTATTATTTATTTATTTATTTATTTATTTATCTTTTTTGAGACAGGGTTTCCCTGTGTATAAGTTCCTAGCTGTTCTGGAGCTTGCTATGTAGACCAGGCTGCCCTCCAACTTTCAGAGATCCTCCTGCCTTTGCCTCCCAGTTACTGGGATTAAGGGTGTGAGCCACCATGCCCAGTCCAACTTAAAATTTTCAATTACAAAATTAAGTACCTATCAATGAAAACTGAAAATAAAATGATAAGAAAGGAAGGAAAGGTCTGGGATGGTGGCGCAATCCCCAGAATGGTGGAGCATGCCTTAATCCTAGTACTCAGAAGGCAGAGGCAGGTGGATCTCCATGAGTTTCAGACAGGCCTGGTTTAGTAGCGAGTTCCAGAGTAGCAAACTACACAGTGAGACCCTGTTTCAAAAACCAAACCAAACCAAACCAAACCAAAACAAAACAAAACAAAAAACCAAAAACAGGAAGAGAACAAAGTCTTCTGGATCTGGTGTTGGGATGGAAGCCAAAAGACACGCTAGAGACTGTCTTGAATCTCTTTTTGCCATTCAGGACAATGGGGGTCCAAGCTGTAGATTTCCAAGGTCATTCATCAAGTCTTGCAGACCCCAGGACTGTTGAGAGATAAATTAGGTTGTGCGAATGGGCATGAAAAAGGGAGCAGAGCGGTGGTGGCGCACGCCTTTAATCCCAGCACTTGGGAGGCAGAGGCAGGCGGATCTCTGTGAGTTCGAGACCAGCCTGGTCTACAAGAGCTAGTGCCAGGACAGGCTCCAAAGCTACAGAGAAACCCTGTCTCGAAAAACAAAAACAAAAAAGGGAGCAGGGGTGTTTACGGAAAGAACAGGGACAAAGAGGTGAGAAGAGCGCCTGAGGGAGGCAGAGAAGCCAAGGACTGGGAGGCCCAGGTGGGAGAGAACAAAAGACATCTAGAGAAGAGGATGTGGGGGGCGGGGTATGGATAGTAGGGGCTCCAAAGCCTAGGTAAAGGAAAGAAAACCTGCAGTAGGCAGGGTGGCAGGAAGGCGAGTACTGAAGGGGGTGGAGCCTAAAGCGGGAGGCGGCGTCTACAGTAGGAGGGGCCTGATGTAAGAGGGCGGAGTCTGTAGCAAGGCGGCTCTGGGGATCTCACCTCCTTGATCCTCCAGAGCCGTCTCTGTATGCACCTGCTGTTTTTCTCCAGTTCCTTCCATGGCCTGAACGGCCCTTGGGGGTTTACAAAGTTTATCCAGCAGTCAGTAAATTCTGAGATGGAAAAGAGGGTAGCCAGTGAGGCGCTAGGCTTCCAGAGACCTTCCTCCATCCTCCTCCCACCTTCCCCTCCCAGGGTATTACTCTCTCCATAGAATCCGCCCTTCTGGGTGGAGGCAAATCTTTGGCCTCAGCAGAGCCAGCACCCTTCCTTCCTGCCCAGCGTCTCCCCCATCCTCCTGGGTATGACTAGTCCTCTTGGAGCTGGGAAACCTTTGCCCACTGGTGGCTGTGGTCCCTTCTTACGTGGAAGGTCCATGGCGTCCACCTGGATTCCTGATCGCCACAGAGAACACAACCCCTCCTGGTACTTCCTCAGCCAGTGGAAGTAGAGACGGGAGGCATAGATGCGCAGGACTAGGCCCGGGTGATCCCTTTTGAATGCAGCCAGTTCCTGGGCACAGTTCGGGCAGGGGCTCCATGTGAGGTAGCAGGTGATCCGCTCTTGACCCAGCTTCAAGGAACGCATCTCATCAATGAAGAGGATTTCTGCGTGTTTACCTTTCTGAGGGGAGTCCAGGCAGAGAGAAGGAAGAGTTGGAAGGCAGAAAGAATCCGGACATCATGGCTGGGGGCAAGCTTGGAGATCAGGGGTTCTTTCTTGTTAATATCCTAATGTCTTGCCTAGTGCGAGGAGAGCACGCACCCACTAACTCCACATTCCCAAAGCATCACAGCCTTTTCTAAACTTGACACGGATCTCAGAGGTGCCCAGAGAGAAGGGGTCAGCGAACAGTTGGTACTTTCAAGTTATGGTCCCCCAGTGCTGTGACCTCACTTCAGGATACTGACTGGAGAGGTTTTCTTTTCTTCTTTTGATTTTTTTTTTTTTTTTTAAAGACAGGGTCTCTCTGTAAAGCCCTAACTATCTTGAAACACACACTATATAGATAGAGCGGGGCTGGCCTTCAACTCACAGAGATCCACCCATCTCTGCCTCCAAGCACTGGAATTAATGATGTGGGCCACTATGCAGGGCAAGAGCTTTTCAAAGATGTTTTAATAAGGACTCAGGCTGGGAGACAGCAGTGAAGAGGTCTCTGTGTGTTTCTTCAATGCAGTAAAAAGGCTAAGCTGGGAGGGTGCTCAAACACTGAGTGAGGGCACCTTGAAGGGCAGAAGCGTGAGCTATGCAAGGTTACAGCCTCGCAAGATCCAGGGCCAGCAAGAAAGACTGAGCCCGGAGCTGGAGAGATGGCTCAGTAGTTAAAAGCACTGCTTGCTCTTCCAAAGGTCCTGAGTTCAATTCCCAGCAACCACATGGTGACTCACAACCATCTATAATAAGATCCGGTGCCCTCTTCTGGCTTGCCAGACATATATGCAGACAGAATACTGAGAATACTGTATACATAATTAATAAATAAATCTTAAAAAAAAAAGAAATAAAGACTGAGCCCCAGTGTGTGCAAAACAAAAAGAGGGAAGTGAAAGCTAGGACCCTCAAGTGTGCATGATGTATTGGAGAGGGGAAGTCCCTGGCTGCCTCTCCATCTGGCTCTGAGAACCCATGTGGCACCTTGTTTTGCAGGCAGCCTTTGAGTGGCCCTTGGCCACTGTACTGCTCCAGCTGGTAGCATAGATAGGTCTTCCTTCGGTAGTAGTGGTGCTGGACTGGTTGGACCCGGTGCCTGTTGTTAAATTGTAAGTAGAATGTGTCTTCTCTCAGCAGACTCTCTGGGCTTCTAGACGAGAAACAAACAAGGCAAGGTGTGAAAATGTGAGCTCTGGGCTCAGCCAACTCAAGCCAACCCTGGCCAAGGAGGGGAAAGGTGCACTGGGGAGTTCCCCCTCTCACCCTGTCCACTGCCCCACACTGCCCGTGGATGCCAGTTAGGAACAACGGTCATGCCGAACCATTTCAGAAAATGCTTTACATGTATTTATCTATTTTTAATTCTGGCTGTGTGCATGTGTGCCATTATGCACGAATAAATGTCATAGCACGTGTAGCGGTCAGAGGTTAGCTTGCAGGAACTGGTCCCCTCCTAGCGTGTGGCTCATCGGGGTGGCAGCACAAACCACTCAGACATCTTGCCAGCCCGAGACATCGTTTTGTTTTGTTTTTGAGACAGGGTTTCTCTATGTAGCCTTGGCTATCCTGAAACTTGCCCTACAGACCAGGCTGACCTCAGACTCAGAGATCTGCTTACCCCTGCTGGAATTAAAGGTATGTGCTACCACTGCCTGGCCTGAGACATTTTTTGACTCAAGGTCTGGCTCTTACTGGCCATAAGTCCAAACTTGAGTTGACGTGGCTACGTGACGTCACTGCCTGACTGCCAATGTAGAACCTCCCCCGACAGAAGAGGCCCCACACTTCTTCCTACTGCCCTGCCTGATGATCTAATGACTTATCCGCCTCTGCTTTTGATGTCTGCATCATCAGTCTGTCACCTCCATCCCCACCTGCCTGGTTCTCCAGGAGAAAGTAACCCCATGTTCTCAGGGGGACCACATGCCTCGTGTGTGCAAAACTGCAAATACAGGTTAACGGATAACAGGTTTTTGCCCCTCTGCTTTGCCCCCTGCCTGGACTAAGGTTAAGTTCATTGTGCAAGATCAATGAAACCTTTCTTTGGTTTAAAAAGGATTTTAAGCTGGACAGTGGCGGCACATGCCTTTAATCCCCAGCACTTGGGAGGCAGAGGCAGGCGGATCTCTGTGAGTTTGAGGCCAGCCTGGTCTACAGAGCTAGTTCCAGGACAGCCAGGACTACTACACAGTGAAATCCTGCCTCAGAAAAACAAAAACAACAAAAAGATTTTAGTTTTCATCTTAGTTATGTGGGGGCGGGGTGGGGTGGGGGGTGCACATGTGTGCAGGTGCCCACAGAGGTCAGAAGAGTGTCACAGTCCTGAAACTGGGCTTAACGGCAATTATGAGCGACCTGGTGTGAGCGCCTCTGCAAGAGCAGTTGGCACTCTTAACCAGAGCGCTCTCGCCCGTGCCCCAAGCTTTGCTTATCTCGGCCAGATCTTGCTGGAAGGTAACATTCTGTGGCCCTCAGGCCCATGTGAAATCAAGTCCCTCGCTTCCCCAAGTGTGGGTTGCGGGCATGGGCACAGGCACGCTCCAGCACACAGATAACGTCCAGGCGGCGATCCAACTAGCAACACACTGGAACGCTGAGGATTAGCAGCACATCAACAGCCAGGCGGAACTATCCTTCAGCGTAGTCCACAGCCGAAGCTTATGAACCTAAACCAAGGATAAAGGGGCCAAAAGGGCAGCCGGAACCCAGGGGAGGATGGGTGCTCTCTGATGGGGTCTTACAACATCCGAAGTGCTTTTTCCTCAAAATGACCCAAAACCTACTTATGCCCATCCATGCCTGTGCCCACCATGTTTTTTTGAGATGGGGTTTCTCTGTGTAGCTTTAGTTCTTACAAGACAGTTCTTACAAGAAGTACAAAGGAAGCCGGGGGGGGGGGGGGGGGGGGGGG